TCCAGTCACGTTGGTTCTCTGAGCCTGTGCGACTTCTCAACTTGCACGCTTCCTCTTTCCTAGTCAACGCTCGTCAATCTTACGTCCTGTCCAAAGCACACCAGGTTTTCATTTTCCGTTGCATGCGCCTGCAGCGCGGTCCTTGGCTACTCATCTCAGATGTCGGCCAGCTACCAGGTATTGACGATCCGGACATGATAATGTCATACTCCACAGGCCACCTATCCCCCCGCACTGTAGAAGACGCACCGAGCCCAGGATCATCAGGAACAGTCGCACCAACCCCAGCTGAAGCAGCCGAGATTGCAAAGAAGCTTCCCAAGAAGAGCAGTAGCAACAACGACCCAACACCTCACTTGAGCTACATGCGATACTTGCAGCGCAATCAGCCTCCTAAGAGCCAAATCGAACGGTTTGGTGGTGGATTCCAGGACTATCTCCAGAGCCCACTGCAACCCCTGACGGACAACCTCGAATCTATTACATACGAGGTGTTCGAAAAGGACCCAATCAAGTACGCGTGGTACGAGCGCGCCATCGCTCAGGCGCTGAAAGACTGGCATGCCGAGAGCAAATCAACCAGTTCTAGCAACGGCGCCGTCGTTATCGCAGTCGTAGGATCCGGTCGAGGTCCGCTTGTGACGCGCGCGTTAAATGCCAGCGCAAGCTCCGGTGTACCCGTACAAGTCTACGCCATCGAGAAGAACCCTAACGCATACGTACTGCTTCAACGACACAACATCGAAACCTGGGGCGGACGCGTCACAGTCGTTAAGACCGACATGCGCGCCTGGAAGGGCCCAACACTCGCGGACGGCACGTTCGGTAAAGTTGACATTCTCGTCAGCGAGCTTCTCGGCTCCTTTGCCGACAACGAGCTATCACCCGAATGTCTCGACGGCGTTCAACACGTCCTGAACCCTAGCCATGGCATATCGATACCCTCCAGCTACACCGCGCACTTCACCCCCATCTCCACGCCAAAGCTCTGGTCCGACCTGTATACTAGAAGTACCAGCGTCGATCCCAACGCTTTCGACATCCCGTGGGTCGTCATGCTCACTCAATTCGACTACCTCTCCACCTCGTCCGAAGAAACCGTCGCATCCAAACAACTCAGCAACGGCACAAGGATGCAGCATTTCAACCTCGAGGCCCCTCTCACACCCAAGGTTGAAACAGCCTGGGATTTCACACACCCCCTTCCTCCCTCCGTTCTAGCGCAGTCTTCGCTCAGGAAAGGCGGTTCGGCGATAGGTGGCGGTGGTGGCTTCAGCGGCGGCGACGGCGCAAACGAACATAACCTGCGCTACTGTCGCATCGCCTTCCCCATCCAAGAACCAGGTGTATGTCACGGTCTCGGCGCGTACTTCGAGACCGTATTGTACAGCGGTTCGGAAGGGCCCGTGGAGTTGAGCACAAACCCCGTCACTATGGAGGCGAAGAGCAAGGATATGATTTCTTGGTTCCCCATCTTGTTCCCGCTCAAGGTACGTTATTACTCACTGATTATAGGAAATAAGGATGATGGCTAATTTGATACACAGACTCCCATGCAGCTCCCCGCCAACTCAGAGGTCGAAGTCAGTTTCTGGAGGCAGACGGATGACCGCAAGGTTTGGTATGAGTGGCTGGTTGAGAGCTATCTGACGGTTGAGGGAAGGAGGATACGGTTGGATGTTTCGGATTTACATTCTAGCAAGTCGAATGGGTGTATGATGTAGTCTGGTACCATCTGGTGCGTAGCTGTATAGTTGGAATGAGAAGATGAGGCCACTGGTTTCAGTATTCGCTATACACTGCCTCTACTGCGAGATACAGTTTGGTGCTTTTCTTTCCAAGAATTGGAACAGACGTATATGGAAGCGTGCTTTATTGCGGTATAAAGGACCTTCTTGGACTATGCTGTAGTCATTATGACACGTCAACGTGTGATATAAGAGACAGAAGATCAGCATACGTATGTTCATTGCGCATAGTATCCATCGGCAATAGAAGCATTCATGTCATAACCTGAAGCTACTTGCTACATCATGCAATGGGTAACGACATACTCAGCTCGAGCCAGGAATCTGAGCTCATCCTCTCTGAAAAGCGCACGTCGAGTCCCCTACGAAGGCGGCGCATCAGTATTCTGAGTCTTCTCCTTCCTCTGCACCCAGCCGAATCTCGGGGATCCGTTGTTCATATCGAATATCTAGATTGGCATATTAGCATAATGCCATCAAAGCGCGCAGGGCTCATAAAGACTTACAGCATACATAGCCTTCAACACAGCATCACCATAAATATCCATATCCATCGACCCCCTACTCTGAATACTCCCATAAACCGTGCCATCCCCCGCATCCGCAAACCCCAAATCCTCTTTCTGAAACGTCACCATGGCGTCTCCGATGGCGAGCTTGATATCGGGCAAGTCATCTGCAGAGGTGGAGGTAGGGAAGACGTAGCCTTGGTTGCTCTGGTCGTACTTTGCGCCGGGAATGGCTTTGTAGACGGCATCGACGAGGGCATCGTCCACGAGGCAGAGGGTGGTGCCAGTGTCCATGATAGAGGTGTTTCCGGATCGGTCGACGGTCTGGCCGTTGATGGTGGCGGATGTGGATTTGATCTGCCAGAAACCTTGGCTGTTATCGACATCGGCATAGTTGGGCTCGGACGCGCCGGAAGCGGTCATGACGTCTTGGTCGATGAAGCCGAAGGTGTAGAAACTCTGGTGTTGTGTTAGATGCGGACTTGGCGAAGTTGGGAGTAATGCTTACTTCTCCCTTGTCAGCCTCGTTCGTGTCGCGCCAGCTACCAAGGTACGCGGTGAAAAGCTGCTCCTTAGCGCTCTTCTGTGCGATGATGTTGTCGACTGGCGTCTTCTGCGGGGTTGGAGAAACAGTGTTGATGGAGCTGAACGCCAGACCAAGTAGTCCGCTGCCATTGCCCTCGGCAAATTGCTGCGAAAGCTCCTTTGCTAGCTCCACAGCTTGGTTCTCGACTTTGAGACCACCCAGGTTCACGACATCAGTACCGACGTCACCGCTTGCGGAAGAAGAGTCTCCATAAGAGATCTTCCATGTCTCACCGTCAAGTTTTTTGAATGTGCTTGACTTTGAGGGGTCGAAAGCGACCTGCTGCTTCGACGCATCTGCTGAACTGAGGATGTTTTTGGGGAGTTCGGTCGACCAGACCTGTATATCTTAGTAATGTGATCAAATCGTCAAAGAACACAACATACCCAAAGATCCGAAGATCCAGTATCGAAATCCAAGTAGATCTTCTGTTCGGGTGTTCCAACGCCGACTTCGCAGAGATACAAGGAGTCGTTCTGGATGTCCTCGGCGGGTACTTCACCTTCAGTCGGAGTGCCGTCGCTTGGGGCTGCGGCTTTACTTTGCGCACCACCTGGTGCCGATGCTTCGTTACGCTTCTTGAGAACGTAGCGTGATCGCATGCGGCCGCCGATTCGGCCGAACTTGCCTTGCTGCGACATGACCTTGGCTTGGAAGTACGGGCCAGGTTTTGTAGGGTGGAAGCCATCTGTGCATGTTAGTTTGAGACTAGACGGGGTTAAAGATGGAGGGAACAGGTGACGAACACTTTGTCATGGCATAGACGTAGCTTCTCACTCCAGCGGGCTTGTACGCTGGGCTACGGTGGACCGCAAGGCGTTGTAGAGATGCCATGGTGATGTTGGGTTGATGGATTTGATGGACTTGTGGATGTTGGTGGTGAGATTCTCGTTACAACACTGATGCAACAAGACAAAGTCGAGAAAGATTTACTTCCCTCGAAGCAGCGACAACGAGGCAGCATAAATACCTTCGTGCCTTCCAACCAACGCATGCATCACGCCCACCTTGAAAGAAGCAAACCTACCTGCCCAACCGCAAACGCTCCAATCACCAGCGCTCGACCAGGAACAGGCGGTCACACCGGCCGGATTGTCGCAGCCGCGATCATGGACCTACAAGCATGCGACCAAGCTTTCCAAGCTTTTATCAAGCTTTCGTTAAGCTCCGCGTGCCGCATATGGTGCGTCTGAAACAACGCATACGCAGATCACACGCACGATGATGCGCGATGGGAGTACGGCTGTGGCGTTTGCGCTGATAAGGATCCGGGCGGGAACAAAGGCAGCTACGGCTATGAGCGAACGGCCGAGGTATCGATGTAGTCGTGAATGCGAACGGCATTGGATGAGAGATCTGTGAACTTGTAAAGTAATCTGATTGCTCCGAGAGTGATGGGAAGCTTGCTTCAAGATGCCACTTGAGGCCCTATCGGAAGCCCCGCAGACAGCTCTCTGTCCCCGCGTTATGGATCTGCCGCGGGGCTGGAATGGCCGCGTGCATGCGCCATATCCCAGCGCAGATATCGAGAGAGGTTCTGGTTTGTGTCGTGTCTGGGCGTTGGCTGGTCCGCGTGTAGCGTTGTGTCTTTGTGGTGGTGTTTCGCAAGTCATTGGATGACGTCAATAGAGACGCGTCATCACTTGTAGATGCCAGGGGGCTAGCCGCCCGTGTCTCCTTGTCGCCATTACGCATTCCAACGTCGGCGGAGGCTTCGGCCATTACATTTCCCAATGACGAGAGACGACATGACCATGTGTTTCGTCCAAGGCCAGAGCTTTGGCGCATTGATGTCTCGTAGCGTTCCTGAGGTCGAAGTTCCTTCCAAGCTTGGGCTGCCTTCGCGCAACATCCAAGTAAAACGTATGTCATCAATAAGTCAGTTGCTTGTCGGATGGCGTGGGTTGATATTTGTTGACTGACCGCTCCATCTAGATATCTCTTGAGTAAAGTAGAGCAGTTTCCTAATTCCAGTCCGCTCTTCAGACAACAGATCCCTGTGGCGAAACTATGCAATCGAGGAAGGCCATCGACATGCTCCAGAACGCATCGCGCATGCGGAGGTGGAAGTAGAAAAGCTTGCGCAATCGAACGTGTCGAACCTTTGCAATCACGGGATACGCTATCGCAATCCTGCGGCCTCAGTACAGTCTTTTACTACCCTCGGGCGTTTGGAGCGGGCGCAGCGCAGAAGGTCGTCTTCATTATGTCCTTGGGAAAAGGAATAGCAGGCATCGACCCGACTTTGCTAACGGTCAACCCCCCAGCTTTGATTCCGAGCTTCATGGCCGACGCTATGTCTTGCTTCATGCCTGCCTGCTTTTGATGCACGAGTTCCACCGTGTAACCTCCAATAAAAGCATCAGAAGCTCCGGTAGTATCCACGACTGGAAAGCCTTTCCCTTGCTCGGCGGCGAATGTGTACTGCTGCCGTATACCTGACACTGGGTCCTTCTCCGATCCGACCACTCCAAGTTCAGCCATTGTGATCACCACACACGTAGCTCCATAGCTATGGAACTTCTCGCAGAGCTCTTGGTAGTGTTGACGTATATCCTTTTGCTGAACGAACCGATCGTCGAAGAGAACACCTTCGATGCCGTTCAAGATGTCGGCTTGTTGCTCATTCACTATGAAATGGTCGACTTGGAAGATCTCGTCTGGAACCGAGGATGTTGCTGGGGCCGCGTTGCAGATCGTCATTGCTTTGTGCTCCTTCGCCCACGCAAGCGCATGAACAACCATCTCTATGGGAATTTCTAGTGAGACGAGAACAACATTCGGGGTGATCTTAGGGTCGAATAAAGGTCCCGGAACGAAATTGCTGTAAGCCCCCCGTGTGACGATGACCGTGGAATCACCAGCAAGGTTCACGCCTATATGCGCGTACCCCGTGTCTTCCTCCTCAATAGTGCGGACGCCGTCGATGTTCACTTCGTTTTCCTTCAGTCCGGCTTTGATATCTTTGCCATTTCTGTCGCCCCCTACGACTCCGAACATGAAGACCTCTACGCCGGATGGAACAGACATCGCGTTATCCGGGCGATAGTCAGCTTGTAGCAAGAAGGCTCGGGGAACGCCACTCAGCCTCGCACAAGCTACAGCCTGATTGACACCATGGCCTCCCGGAAATCGCAGGCTTTTCGTTGTTACCACATGACTGCCAATACGAGGATGGCTATCGATGAGGTTGATGAAATCCATGTTCATTGAACCCACGACTGCGACTCTAGCTGTTGCAGTGCCAGCATCTGGTCCGGGGGGAGACATGGAACGGCGAAGGATAGCAGAATTAGGCGTGTTCGTCGACATCTCTAGAAAGTTTCGATAGATCGGTAATGGCTATCAAGGGTAAATCGATTAATCGCTGTTCTGAGATTCACTCGGGGGAGGTCTCAGTAACAACCAATTTGTGCAGTATCGCCATCGCATGTGCGCAAGACTCAGCCTTGGGCGCATGTAAAGCAGGCAACTAGGATGCGGAGCGGGGTCGCAAGTAATCGACGTTTCCAGTTCCTGATGCCCGTTAAGATACGTCATGAAGGTCAGAATGGCGAATGGAGTCGTTACACGATGTTGTGGCTGATGAGCATCTCCGTGCCGAGTCGCTCGGTTAGCTTCACAATGCATGAAGGCTGACCTCGGCGCATTCATCCAGGCTGTATCGCTTCAGCTGAATTCCGGTGAGACTTCATCCAGCCTGTCATTAAATAGAGCACATAGCTTGGCGCACGTCCTCCAGCGCCGCCGTCCAGATGCAGCCATTCAGCTTTCAGAGAGTACCGCCCATGCAGAAGCAACACCGGCCCAAGAGTATGTGGCTGACGATTGGTGCAGACTCTTTCTCATGGTTTCTGCTGTTCAGCTGTGGGAACAGATCCATACGCATAATTGCTGCCAAACACCAGTTCCATCGCGACATCGTCCAGCCCCGTATAAAGCCCGCAGCCTTCTACAGATTGGCGCCACCAAATCTTAGAAGTTCAAAGCTTCGATGACGCATTCCGTTCCGCAAGACATCGTCCAGGAATGGAACAAATCCCTCGGAGAAGACGTTCCAAAGCGATCGAATCTTCATGCCCGAGCGAAAGCGCTGTTTCTCCTCTGGGAAGATGCATCACCCGATCGAAGATCTGATTCTGAAGATCTGAAGTCATTGCTTGAACAGAGATACAAATTCGAAGCAGAGTCATTCGAGATCCCTCTGCAAGATCCTCAAACTGTTCTTCACGACCGTGTGCTTGCATTCATCGATTCTATCGACAGCAGCTCAGGTCTCGCTCTCGTTTACTACTCTGGACATGGGAACATCAAGAATGGCTCTCAGTTTTGGCTGCCGTAAGATATCGGACAGAAAATTACTTGATCGGCTACTAATATACATACAGAAACCCCGAATCGCAGCCACAGCCGCACCCAGAAGTGGAATGGTCCCCGTTACAAGAGACTTTTGAACTCAACTCATGTGATGTCGCACTTCTTTTCGACTGCAGCTATGCTCCGGCATCATCTGATGATCGTCATAGGAGAAGTAGCTCCTTCTTTCACTGTGTCACCAGAGTACCTATTGGGAGATTGGAGGTCCTTGCTACGCCGAGCGGCATAAGCGCAGAGGACTCGTCCTTCCGACGAGCCCTTATTGGAACCCTTTCCGAGGCGCATGGAGATTATGTCTATATCGACGAACTTCGGAAATCCATATACCGAAGGCTCGGCAATCCTTTCGACCCTGTATACGTCAAGCTATCCCGCGGCAACGACCGTTCAAGCATTGCCATCTTACCTTTGGAGAGAGTTGACATCGACTTGCTCATCAAAACGTCTATGGATGCTAGCAACCAGCAAGGTCTCAAACAATGGGCTGATAGAGCCCCAAGGCAAATCAAAGCATTCAAGTTCCTCCTCCCAGAGGAAGGGAGTGGTGATGGTAATCTGAATCATATGACAGCCCAAGTAGATGTGGCAAACTTGAACGACTTGGAAAACATCTCAAGCTGGACAAAGAAGCTCCCGTCGTTCGTTAAGGACATCACAATTCCAGGCTTGTTGCAGTCCACAAAAGCAAAGACCAGCAACGAACGTCTCAACGAATTCTGCCAAGTGTTCAACAAGAACAAGAGGCTTCATACGGACTTGGGCACGCGGGACGGAAGATACAGAAGAATCGTTGTCCTACCTTTGAAGTGGCTCAAAGATGGGTTCATCAATACGTCCATGATCTCTCAGGAGCTGCGCAAGTTTAGCGATGCTTTCAGGACAAATTTCGATAACTGCGAAGTAAAGCCGATCTTCGAGATACCCGCAGGTGAAGCACCACTATCCAAGGTCGTAAAGAGAATAATACAGATACTGGACGATCTGAGTAGCAGCGACCTGTTGATCGTCGCGTACAACGGTCATGGGTCGAAGACCAACCACCAATCCGGCCAATGTGTACTCTCGTAAGTATGTTCCCGGCCATTATCTACACTCGCTGACAGATCTGCTCCTAGAGGCGGAAATGGCTCGGAGATTAATTGGAACGCCGTGCAGCCTCATCTCTACGAGGCCACATGCGACGTGGTTCAGGTACTCGATTGTTGTTATGCCGGTAGCGCAATCAAGGCCGCGCCTCAAGGAAGGAACGAGATCTTGGCAGCCTGTGATCGTGAGGTGTCAACGCCCTGTGGTTCGGATTCCTACATGGAACGTTTCACAGCCATTCTTCTAGAACTGATACAGGAGGCGAAACCGTTCTCGTTGTCAACGGTGCAAGAGAGAATCAAGATCGCGACTGATCACCGTAACGTTGACATTGAGCAGCAGAAAGCGCAAGGACAACACGCCACTAGCGTGTTGGAACTGATACCACTTCCGGTTTACCAGTTGATTCCCGACTCTTCCAGCAGCATCACCTTGCGACCAAAGACTCTAGCTATTGATTATGAGTACGACGGTATGACTGGTCACAGAAGTTCGCAAGATGGCAATGAATTTGTTGGTTGGGCATATGCCAAAATTGCCGTATGTAGCGGAGACGATGGGAAAGACTGGAAGAACATGAGGGTCGCAAAGCTTTTCAACGGCGAGGAAATGTTGGGCGAGCTGCAGCGGGATACTTGAGATGAGGTTTATCCCGCCATAACCCTCGTTATTAGCTTTTACATCATGAGGATAGCTTGTGCGCACGTTGGCAAGTGGTGGTGTTTCGCAAGTCATGTAATGACGTCACTGGGTACGCGTCATCACTCGCACCTACCTGCCCTTAAGGAACTAGCAGCCATCTTCCTTTCTCCAGCCACCGAAGCACGCAGTGTTTGTAGAGCACAGATTTTGACGTTTGTTTTACTATATTTATGAGTAATGCGACGCTTGCATTTGTCATTTTATGAACTTCCATGTACTCTGAAAAGCACTACTTGGGTATATCTTGTAGTTTGAGTGACAGGCGCATCCCCTGCTTCTTGGAGACGATCAGATGTGTTCCAAATGATCAGGATCATCCGCACACTCGTAACGCTTCGGTCAAGTGAGTGACGCAACTAATAAGACAGACAAAAGGAAGAGAAAAGCAAAGAAGATAAAGAATCGACAACCACAGCACCCATCCTCACGCCGTCCTGGGCTTGAAGATCAGGTCACATCGATCGTGCCTGCTTCTGTATCCATTCGCCTCAAAGGGCGCCATCGCCTCCGGCGTTGTCTCCGGCGCAAGTTCAACCTTGAACGCCCTGAACGTAGCCGCCAAGATGACCCTCATCTGGTATGTTGCCATGTTGCCTCCTGGGCAGCGTCTCGCACCTACGCCAAAAGGAACGAGATGCTTCTTCCGCTCAGCGCTGTATTCATCTTCGACGAGCCATCGTCGCGGGTTGTAGGTATCGAAGTCGGGGAAGAGGTCGGGACGCTGGCGAGACATGCTGAGAGACTGTGTGGTGACGACCGTGCCGGCGGGGAGGTGGTGACCAAGGACGTTGATACCCCCATCTGGAACGAGGCGGGAACCTGTAAGGGCGACTGGTGGGCGGAAACGCAGACCTTCGTTGATGCATGCACAGAGAAGTTTGCAGGAGTCAAGCTCCTCGTAGCCCTCGTGTGCGGCAACTTCCTCGTACAGCTCTTCTTGAAGGCTTGGGTTCTTTGATAACTCGTAGTATATAAAGGCGAGAGCTGATGAAGTTGTTTCGGTAGCAGCAAGTACCTGGCCTGCCATCTCTGCACCGATCTCTGGGTCTGTCCATGATTCCTCGAGGGGGTACTTTGCGTCTGGGTCAGTGAAGAGTTGGAAGACGTTGGCGGTTGAGTCCTCGGCTATAGCCTTGGCCTGCTTGCACAGCTCTGCGCCTAGGTCGAAGAGCTTGTCACTGGATCGTACGCGGAAACGTGGATGGGCGAATGGGCCGTATTGGAGCCATGTGAATAGCCATTCTGGGAGGCACAGGCGCCAAACAACGAGGAAGTTGTACTCGCCGACAACGTGTGGGAATTCGTCAGACTCCAGGTCGACACCTGTGCCGCCCATGACGACTTGGGAGTTCTTGAGTGTGCAAATGCGCAGGTGATAGACGATGTCTTCGGACTTCTGACCCTCTGTCTTCCCGAGATTGCGAACCATGGCTTCGATGTTGGTGACGAAGGTGTCGTGCCAGAACTTCATGTTCTTTGTTGTGGTAGCAATCATGACGGGGTGACGTCTTTGCCGCGCGATGGGATGTTGAGGGTACGTGACAGTCCAGTCATGGCCGCCGACACGAAGGGCTCGGATAGATTTTGGCGAAGTGTCGAGATCTTTCCTGACGAAGATCTTCTCCACTGACTCGGAATCGTTGAGAATAACGAGATTCGGTGCGATCCTGACGATGGGTCCATACTTTGTCATGAGCTTGTCTGCCTCAAAGGACAGTCTGCCATGCCAACGCTGCCACCTGATCCAGGCTGATGTTGCTGAACTGATCCAAGGTCCGGGTATGGCCCGCAGAGGGTCGATGTGGGCCCGGTAGATCATTTTGGTGATCTGGGTAATAGCCATCAGGACCACAATGGCCCCGACGAGCTTCCAGCGAAGCACGTAGGCATTTGACATTGCGCCTTGAACAAGGCTGGGCTTGTCAGTGACCAGCAGGTCGTGAATAGTTTCGTTCAACATGATGAAGAATGCAAAGATTGGTCTTCAGGCAATGAAGTACAGATGGATAAGCACGGGACGGCATTATATACTTTTCTCTGAGAATTGAACCTGTATCACCGTTACTCACATTACCTTTTGCCTCGACTGGGAGCCATGTGCGATCGAAGTCAATCCTACCAGCCCGGCACCCGAAGGACCCTGATCCCCGCAGACCCTGGAGCCTCAAAGTTCGGACCTATCTCAAACCTTATACAAAAAAAGGTTTCGGTAGTTGATGTCACAAAGACGCTGAGAATAACTGTGCACTAGAAGTCTACTGGCTGATGGAAGTATACTACCAGGCAACCGAGATTTTGAGGCGGCCTTGGTAACTTCTGCGCTTTGCGAACTGCGTACGATGACCTGATGGTTCCTCCGCAGCTATGGTGACGGACGGCAGTTGAGAGAAAGGAATGTTCGCAGCCGAGGCAAGTGGCAATGTCAATCATGTGGAGAGCACACAGAAGGCCCGACGTGTCGCGATGAAGTACCGAAGCACTGTTGTATGTTCGCCTTGGGTGCCTAGTTAGGTGATGATCGATCCTCCAAGGGCTCTTGCTATTGAACGAGCACCCGTGTTTTGAAGCGTAGCCAACGACGTGAGGGTTAAAGCACCAATAAGGCTACCGGAAAGCTGGGCAGCAGAGCGCCGTTACGCCCCAAGAGCGTAGGGTATGCCGTTGATGATCTCAAGTTGATTAATGCCCGATAATGCGGTGGAGAACGAGTTGCTAAGTCAGCGTAGTTAGAATTACTCATGTTCGCAAAGGGTGAGTGTCGTGGTGATCGCTGACTCCGACGCGTAGACATCGTACTGACCTCGCCGAACCTCGAGGGTGTGTATGTAGGACCTGGCGAAGTTGGAGGCGCCAATCCACGAGCGCTCATTTCACATGAAAGATAGTATTCGTGCCCAATGTGGGCCCATAATTATTCGACCGAAGTGGCGCACAATACGAAGCTCATGCTGCTGCTTCAAGAAGCGAGTGCTTCAGCGTTGAGGGTATCGAATGGCGCCGTTAATGACATCGCGGGGTTAATAAAGTTGTGGTCATGTAAACTATGCGGTGCATAGTTGGCCAATCTCCCAAGAGAGTTCTATTTCTGTTAGAGAAGTCTAAATTTGTGCACATGGGACTTTTGGTGAAAGCCAATATTGAAGCGATGAACGCACAATCAGGTTTGTTTGCCTTGGGCAACAGTTTTGCGTTGCGCTACCACACGACGTCTAGGAGCAAACAAGGACGTTGGAGTAAGACGGTTTCATCAGTACTGTTGTACGTCGTGCAGACGAACGTTCTGTGCTGTACTGTAGGGATCACGCTGCCCGTTCGGCGCGTTCACGGGCGCTTACCAGGGCATACATCCGCGATGCGCATGAACAGGAGATCGGCAGGAGGCTTCGATAAGTTGGAGACAACTGTATGTGTGGAATCTGGAGACGAGCTTTGACATGGCGCTCACGGTCGTTGTTGAGCTGACTAGGAAGGTCGGAAGGCTGGGCACGCGAGAGCGAGAGAACAGGGCACGCTTTACCGTTTCGGGCGTTCCGACACGCGTTCCGCAAGCCTATGATAAGCATAGACCATTTGACGTCACTGACCCCGGTCCTCGAATCTCTCCTTCCCATCTTCGCTACCAGACCTCGCTTCATTTTCCCATCGAACGCATCTTCCCGTCTGCCTTTCGGTCCGTCCCAGATTATTCATCCCGTTTCTTGAGTTGCTCCGAGTCGTTGTCAGCAAGGTGGACCTCATGTCCGCGCAACACCCCATCAGATCGCGGCTTCGGCAAATAGTTCGCAACCACTGGCATCAATGCAGCGATCAACACGCCAAGCCATAGAACGGCAGTCGATACGGCAAATCCCTTCAAGTTGCGTGGTCCCTCAGCGCTGGGCCACAGAAAGCTGCCATATATGAAACTCGTGTGACCAAAGGAGTTGACCAGCGCGATGGCTATCGATCGCTTGCGTGCTGGTTGGGACATGACCTCGCTTGTCCAGTTGAGAATTAGAGGAACCGTTGTGTACATCGCACCAGTCTGCAGGCATAGCATGGCATATTTGACTGCGCTATTGCTGACAAGAAGAGCTACTAAAGTAGCAACTCCGGCGAAAGCGAGAAGACCAGCGTTGTGCCATCTTCGGTCTTCGGTCTTGTCAGAAGTCCAGGACCTACCAATCGGTGTACGATTAGTGGATGTCTCTTCCCGTGCCTTTACAAGGGTTTACTCACCAGAACAGCTGAAACACGGCACCACAACTCCAGATGGGTACCGTCATCCATTGGGCACTGGTGCTTGTGTAACCCATTCCTCGAAGCATGGTCGGAATGAAGTACGAAACGGTCAAGGCCAAGCAGTTCGAGGTGTAGATGACCATGAAGAGATATGTCCGTCCATCTCTAATCACTGCAAGGAAGGCTTCGAATGGGGTGAGAGCTGCCTCGTCGGTGTCCCAAGATTGGTCTCGATCGCGGAGGATGCGAACATGGGCAAGAAGGCGTTGTTCCGGTGAAAGCATCTTGGATTCGATCGGCCAGTTGGGAAGGATTAAATACACTGATATGTACGACATGTTAGCAGTGCTCATACCTTCTGCGCGTGGCGATCACTCACGCCCGAAGCCACAGGCAATGGTAATGATACTCTCGATTATGAGCAGCCATCGCCAGCCCGGAATACCACGAGCACCGTCCAGGCTGGAAATTATGGCACCTGCCATGATACCACCCAGCGCTGGAGATACGCAGCCGGAGGTGTAGAAGATGCAAAAGCGCTTGCCTGGAGGATTACGTTAGCCACATGTCAGATTCCGAAGAGGCTGGCTAGGTACTCACCAACTTCTTTCTTCGTGTACCAGCAGGTCAGGATGAATAACGCGCCTGGATACAGTCCGGCCTCGATTGCGCCCAGAAAGAAACGTCCAATGAGGAGTCCTGTTGCGCTCTTTGTCTGCGACATTCCGAGGACTACGCATCCCCAGACCCACACAATCGTGGCTAAACCGACATTTATGAGTATTGACTCAGCATCGTTCGGCTGACTGGGTACGCTTACACAAATAGATCGACGGTTTTACCTTCATGAGGATCATGTTCGAAGGAACCTCGAAGATAACGTAGGCCACAAAGAAGAGAGATACGAGCATTGCGTATTCTACACACCGTCAGCTACCTCACCTCGGACACTATTGTGTGGTCTGTATTGGCAAACGTACGATTATCCGACAGGCCAAGTTCCTCACTCATGCCCGCCGCGTTGGCGTTGGCAATGTTGCTCCTGTCGAGATGGGCAAGTATGTACATCCACCAAAGGATTGGTAGCAAGATGAAGTCAATCTTTCGGACCAAGCGTTTTTCTTCCACAGTATCTGGCACATAGCCTTGCAGTGCTGCTATGATTGCCGCATCTTCGGCCTCTCCATATTGTATTTTCGGGGTTTTCTCATCGCTTGGATCAGAGGCAACTCGTTGTGCCAGATCCGGTGCTTCACCATCTTTGGAAGTCATGATCTTCGATCGTTGAGGCTTGCAGGGGGGACAGGGCGCCCGAGGAACAACACGAGAATAGTGAAGCCAGGCAACTGACAGAAACAGCAGATTCACAGCATATACATTAGTGCTACGTCGAACGGCTGCAACCTTCCCGCCATCTATCTGTATGGCACCCGTTGACAGCTCGATGTTATCGCAATCCTACTCACGACGTAATCAGACCGCCACTGTTGCGAAACCATGACCCCGCTTCCTATCTATCTCTATCAGCTTAGTAAAACCCAACAGGATTGTGAGTGGGCGTGTCCCAAAGCAATGCTGGCATCATGATCATGCGGAGTTCGCCAAGACAAGGCCCCTACCTGGCCAAGATGCAAGTGGAGCAGCGCTTATCATACCCGACAATTCGCTCGACTCTGTCCCCGAAATTACCATGACATACTGTACTTCTTCATAGCCATCCGAAGAATGCGAACTTGACCAACAAGCACGGTCTGCTGTCACCCTCTACCACCACCTACTCCAAGGCCTCATAAACCGCGACGGAAAGCCGATTCCTCGAGACACAATACTTCCGTCATGTCTAAATCCAGCAAACATGTAGTGTTCGATATTGTCGGCACCTGCGTCTCCTATGATGCCATATTCGATGCTCTGGAGCACTGCTTAGGCGACAAGATGCGTGCTGAAGGCATCAAGCCACGACTATTTGGCTACCTCTGGATTGAAGTCACCGAAAGAGAGTACACTTATCTCAGCATGAATGGTCGCTACATGGCTTTCCGCGACGTCTTCAGCAGCCTCTTTTACCGAATGCTATACATGTCCGGCATCGAGGAACCCCAAACTTTCGCTAGCGACAAGGATTTGCAATACATCCTAGAGCAGTACAAGAAGCTTGAAGCGCGGCCTGGTGTCGCGGAGTGTTTCCAATTGCTCCGGGATGCTGGCTTCACGGTGTGGGCGTTGACGGCTGGGGATGTTGAGCGTGTTGGAGGCTACTTCACGCACAATGGTATCCATATGCCCAAGGAGAACTTCATCTCATGCGACACGGCCAAGATTGGTAAACCGGATCCAAAAGTGTACCAAATGATGATGGAGAAGCTGGGCAGTGATGAGAAATGGTTTGCAGCTGCGCATAACTGGGATGTTGCGGCTGCTAAGATTCACGGGTGAGTTGGCACTACCCGTCTACCTGCGCAGCTCCATTAACCATTCAACAGATTCAAGGCTGCGTATTGCACGATATGGGAGAAGATTCGTTGCGACAATCTCTTCGGCGAGATGGATGTGACTGCGGACTCCTTTCCCGAGATGGCTCGTGGTATCATAGCTGCATCTGATGCCGACTCAAATTAAGCCGTTTGCGTTTCGAAACATAGCGATGTCAGAACATCTCGCGCGATCTGGTCAGCTGCAGAAACTCAGAGTGCTGAACAGTCATGCCAAGTCAACGTCGTGCAGAAGGATTGCTCAGAACGCCGCTAAACATCTTCGTGTACTTGATGGGATGATATATGCATGACCTCCTCAGTCAAGCGAGTAATCACCCTTGCCGATCTACGTTTCGGCAAATGTTCTCCGTCCTCGTTATCGAGTGCATCCCCCACTCTATCATCGATAAGAATGAATCATGGAGCAGAACTCGCTAAGCACCCTGAGCCGTTGAGATGTTCAGGAAGTGGGGGAACCACCAGCGCGCTTTGCGCCGCGGCCATCTCCGTGCCTCATCATGTGCATACCCGTGTACCGTTGTCGGAAACGCTCTGTTATCTTCTTGTAACCATGTCAGACCGTCGTTTGGGCAAAATATTTGTGGCCTTGGTTTTGATAGGCAGTCTTCTGCGATCCGGTACAAGTACGTTTATGCAGCACACATCGATATCGCAACATGAAGAGCGACCGCACACCGGTAGCAGATCCCGTACACTCATTCTGGACTTCTGTATCCAATCCTCTTGATGACCTACTGAGTACGGATGACCTTTCCACTGAGGCAGACATTGTAATCATCGGTGCGGGATTTGCCGGGGTTGTACGTCTACATCACGAGTTGATTTCCGAACGCATATGTGCTGATTGCAATCTACTAGGCGACAGCTTATAATATTCTCACATCATCCTCGTCGTCCCCGAAGCAATCTGTCCTCATTCTAGATGCTCGCAAGATTTGTTTTGGTGCCACTGATCGCAATGGCGGGCACGTAAAGCCAGACCTTTACTTCAACGTCTCGAAATATGTATCCATGGATGGTGCGAGCGCTGCAGCGGAAGTTACAAATTTTGAAGCGGCGAATGTGTACGCAGTCAAAGAGCTTGTTGAGGCTGAGAAGTTGGACTGTGACTTACATCTTACGAGAGCGATCGATGTGTATCTGGATGCCGATCATGCCAGGCAGACGGAGGCGGCGTGGGAGATGCTAAGGAGGGATAATATTGTCGAACTAAGAGACGTAGCTTGTGTCTCTAAAGAAGATGCAGAGAGGGTGAGCACGCTTGTCTTTCATAAAGACGTATGAATCGTAAGGCTAATTGTTCTTCCGAAGGTATCGGGAGTCAAGGGCGCTCAGCTGGCTGTCAGCTTTACTGCAGCGCACTTGTGGCCACGAAAGATGGTGCATCAATTGCTAGCGAAGCTACTCGAGCAAGACCATAAGCTCAATGTTCAAGCAAATACACCAGTGACGTCTGTATCCGACACGACGGACGAGGCAGGAAGATGGATAATAGAAACATCGCGCGGCACTATCAAAGCCACAAAGGTCATCCACGCCACCAACGGCTACGCGAGCCAAGTTCTGCCCGAATACACGCGAAGCATAACTCCGATCCGCGGCGTCTGCACCCATATCGACAGCGCATTGAAGCAACACGCACCACATCTCAACAACACTTACGCCCTTCGTTTCGACGGCCGAAATTACGACTATCTCATTCCCCGAGCAGACGGAAGCATCATCGTTGGAGGCGCAAGGCAGCGGTTCTGGCACAAGCCTGAGCGCTGGTTCGACACCGTGCGCGATGACGAGCTTGTTGATGAAGCAACGACCTACTTCGACGGGTACATGCAGCGCCACTTCCGCGGATGGGAGGATACGCAAGCGCAGACAAAGAAGGTGTGGACTGGAAGCAAGTATCGTAGTCTCCTGCCCATGCGCAACTAACGCATTGAACAGTCATGGGCTATAGTGCAGACTTCATGCCGCACATTAGTCCAGTTCCAAATAAACCAGGACAATTCATCATCGCGGGGTTCAATGGTCACGGAATGCCGCAGATACTGTTGTCGAGTAAGGGTCTGGCTGCTATGGTGCGAGATGGAGTGCCTTTCGAGAAAACTGGGCTACCGCGTTTATTCAAGACGACAAAAGAAAGGGTTGAGAGGCGAGATAGCCCACTCGAAGATTCGTTCCGTCCGCTGTGGGAGGAGCATGCCAGGTCGAAGCTATAACGATTGCGTCTCCACGGTCGAGACAGTCAGCGCATCTTGGCTCAGAGTATTGAGGGAGTAGTTCAGACTCGGAAAGATTGGAGTAGAGATGCGTTGTTGCTACGTAGAGGTACGGTACGGTAGTGAGCGATGGCACCTGGGAATCGAGGTGCAGCTTGAGAGGACAAAGAAGTTGACGACAGACGCTAACCCGATTGAGCTACCTCGGCATTCAGCCACCGCAGTGTGGGGTCGTGCGGAACAGCCACAACTCCTCATCCCCTTTTCTCTCCTAGACGCCCTTAACGATCCCTCTTATCAACATACACACCGACTGAGTGATGAGCTCGCTAATGCTGAAGATGCTAACACATCCCTGCCAACATCTCTACCCGAGGGACGCAACACCCATGTGCCTACTTGACAGCGCTGATTCGCATGGTACAACATGCTGCAGTCAGCATTCACTGTTGCATTTTGCAGGCAGCCATAGTCGATAGCGTGATAGCGCGCTATGCTCGGTTCGAACAAACCCTTTGAGTATACACATACGCGTAGGTCGCCGGCTCGTTGCACATAATTGAGCGCGCGGCT